TGACCTTGAACCCACAACTGAGATTTCAAGTGCAAAAATTGGCGCCAACTCAGAGGCAGAAGAGTGGGGCTGGCAGAAGGAGGGCGGGCCGGTGCTATTAGGAGCTTCTGACCCACCCTCTTCCCTCTCATTCTAAGAGACCCGAAAGAGGGGGCTTTGTGCAAGTTACTCCCCAGTGTAGTGCTTCTGCTTCCTCCTTTGAAAACTGGAGATGATAATGGTGGCCCACTTCTTACCAAATATCTAGAACATCCACTGTTATCCGCGGCTCAGCTGCCCTGTCCAGTTCTGGACTGGAGATGCCGTGACCTAAAAAACAATTGATGCTCATGAGCAAGGTGTCTGGGGAGGAGAAGGACCAGGGCACCGAAAGCTAAGATTTTCTTTTCTCGTCTCTTTATGTTGTAATGGGTACATGTTCATATGGGTATAGGTATGGGCATGTATGTGTGCATGTCCACGTAGGTGCACATGTGTGTGAAGACCAGAAGACAGCCTCGAGTATTGTCCCTTAGGATACCACCCGTCTTATTTTTGAGACAGGGCCTCTCATTGGTTTTGAACTCACCCTTTAGACCGGGCTGCCTGGCCCATGAACCCCAGGGATCTACTTGTCTTGCCTCCCCAGCGATGTCCCACCATGCCTAGGTTTTTATTATGGGTGCTGGGGAGATGGAGCTCAAGTCTCTATGCTTGCATAGTGCATTTTACTGACTGAATCATTCCCCTCAACCCTTATCTCGTTCTTTTTATTTATTTACTTATTTTTTTACTTTTTGAGCCAGGGTTTCTCTGTGGTCCTTGCTGACCTGGAACTCACGTTGTAGACCAGGCTGGCCTTGAACTCACAGAGATCTGCCTGCCTCTGCCTCCTCAGAGTTGGGATTAAAGGCCTGTACCACCACTGCTCATCTTCTCATTCTTTAAGTGAAGGCACACAGAACCGGAGGAGCCAGACTTTTCATGCTCTCTACTGTACCCCACAGCAGGTGGCTTCCCTCTGGGAGTCCCCCAGAGGCAGAAAGACTATGGTATTCATTTCTCGCAGCTGCTCCAGGGGTTGGTGGCAGACATCTCTGCTTAAATCCTGTCTGCATCCCGAGAGTGTTTATCTGCCTAGGAGGACCTGGTCTGCTCACAAGGATCTTGCAGGTCCCTGGGATTTGTGTTGTTTGATTTTTAACCACTTCTACAAGGATGAAGAGAAGGATGGCCCCAGTCACAAAGACTTGTTGAATCCAGAGATGAATGTTGGGTGTCTTTAATCACTCCATTTGTGTGTGTATGTGGTGTATATGTGCATATGTGTGTGTGGTGTGTGTATGTGTATGTGTGTGAGGTGTATGTATATTGTATGTTTGTATATGTGTGTATGGTGTGTGTGTGTTTTATGTATATATGTGGGTATGGTGTGTGTGGTATGTGTGTATATGTGTGTGATGTATATGTGTGCAATATGTGTGTGTATGTGGCATGTGTGTATGTGGTGTTCCTGTATGTGTGTATATGTATATGTGTGGTGTGTGTGTGTGTATGTGGTGTGTGTTTATGTGTGTGGTGTGCCTGTATGTGTGTGTGTGTACATATGTGTGTGGTGTGTGTGTGTGTGTATGTGGTGTGTATTTGTGTGTGGTGTGTGTGGTATGTGTATATGTGTGTATGTGTGTATGTGTGTATATGTATATGAGTGTGCATATGTCCATGTGTGTGAAGAGGAAGAGGAGGATGTCAGGTGTCTTCCTCTATTTATACCGTCATACTGTTTTTGAAGCAAAGTCCCTCACTGACCCTGAAGCTCACTAGGCTGATGGCCACAGCTCTCAGGATCCACTTGTCTTTGGTCTTCAGTTGTGAAACTGCACGCACACCTGGCCATGTGTAGCTTTTATGTGGGTTCTTGGGAGTTTGAACTTAGGTCCTTTTTGGTTCATGGCAAGCGCTCTTATCCATTGAGCTGTCTCCCCGCCTTCCACCTTTTTTTTCTTTTCTTTTCTTTTCTTTTTTTTGAGCAGGGTCTCTAACCTCACCATTTTGGCTAGACTGGCAGGCCAGTGAACCCCAGGAGTCCTCCAGTCTCTGTTTTAGGATGATAAGCATGTGTTATCACACCTGCATATATATATGTATATATGCATACATCTAAATATATATGATGATATACAAGATATTCATCAGTGTGGCTATAGTATAGGGCCAGTTCAGGTGTCCTCTCCTCAGCTGCTCAAGGAACAAGCTGGGGATATCTCCTTGGACACCTGGGAACTCCTCTAGAGTCCAGTTTTTTGCCAACCCTCAAATGGCTCCCTTAATTAAGATATATACTTCCCTGCTCCCATATCCACTCCTCCTCCATCCCAATTGTCCCATTCCCCCAAGCTCTCCCCGTCCTCCCCTTCTTACTTCTCTCTCCCCCTCTTCCCTTACCCCCGTCCCACCCACACACGGTGGATGGAGATAGAGACAGAGACCCACATTGGAGCACTGGACTGAGCCCCCAAGGTCCAAATGAGGAGCAGAAAGAGAGAGAACTTGAGCAAGGAAGTCAGGGCTGCGAGGGGTGTGCCCACCTACTGTGATGGTGGGACTGATCTAATGGGAGCTCACCAAGGCCAGCTGGACTGGGAATGATGGAACATGTGATCAAACTGGACACTCTGAACGTGGCTGACATGGAGGACTGACTGAGAAGCCAAGGACAATGGCACTGGGTTTTGATTCTACTCCATGTACTGGCTTTGTGGGAACCTAGTCTGTTTGGATGCTCACCTTCTTAGACCTGGATGGAGGGGGGAGGACCTTGGACTTCCCACAGGGCAGGGAACCCTGACTGCTCTTTGGACTGGAGAGGGAAGGGGAGGGGAAAGGGGGAAGGGGGAAGGAAATGGGAGGAGGTGAAAATTTGTAGTAATATTAATAGAAAAATATATATCAAGAATATGAAAGATCAAATATATATATTCAAATTTTTTATTTATTTACTTTTTTAAGATTTATTTTTTAGCTAGGCTGATGCTCAGTTCACTTTCTTTGTTTCGTTCAGGCTGATAGAGGGATCCTACATTCAAGATGGGCCTTCACACCTAAGTTAAACTTTTCTGGACACACTCTCATAGACACATCTGGATATGTGTTTCCATGGTGATTCTAAATCCCTTCAAATGACAATCCAGATTCATCATCAGACACCCGGATCCCATTGCTCCTGCCTCACACCCCTTCCTCAGAGACAGTATTAGCTCCCCTTTATGATGTTGCAAAACCAGAGCCCACTTGACTGTTGACAATTATACTTCTTGGAAGTCCCTTTCTTTTTCTTTTTGGTAGATGCCTACCAGGTGACTCTGAGCGAAAGACGAGACTGATTTGCTTGTAAAGGCGACCAACACACACACAGGAGTCTCAGCGAACATCCTCTCCAAAGAGAGGTTTCCGGGGTCACAGATTCACCACATTAAATGCTCGGCCCTGCTCCGTGGTTGATATGAGTCAGTGGTCCTCTCAGAACCGCCCTCCGGCACTGTTTCAGAGAAATCTGTCCTGGATGTGAGGATGGCTTTTTACTTCCCTGCAGCTGGCTGCTTTGCATTTTTCCCAAGGTGAAACTCAACCAGTATTTTCAGGTCGGAGAAAGAGTCAGCAGTTTGATTGGGGGCGGGGACCTGGCTAACGCTGGTGAGCCTGCGAATGTAGAAAAAGGCTTCCCAGAATCAGATCCTAAACCGAGGGGCCCCCCAGGCTTAGATTTTCTCTCTTAGTTCTTAACCCTCCCCACCTGTCTTTTGTGTGTGTGTGCGTGTGTGTGAGCGTGGTTAGTTAGACGTGTGTGTGGATATCAGAGATCAAATTTGGGTGCCCCCAAAGCTATTCACCTTGTTTTCTGAGAGTGAGACCTCACTGGGATCTGGAGTCACCGGCTGAACTAAGCAGTCTGCTCAGTGAGCCCCAGATACCTACTTGCCTCCACCTCCCCAGCATATAGGTTAGATGCACACAGTGCCCCGCCCAGCATGTTCCTGTGGGTTCTGGGGATCACCTTACTGACTGAGTCACTACCCAGCTCCACTTCTTTGAAAGCATCTGCCCTCTAGAACTGTGTGTGGTGGTATACACACATAGGCCCCTTTTCGTTTTGATGTCATTGTCTTCTGGGCAGACCTAGTGACACAAAGTTTCACCCCACCTGACTTCCCCAATAGAAACAGCATGCTCCCTTTTCTCCAGTGACAGGGTCAATTTACTGACCTCTCACTAATGCGTTTTGTGGCACTTTTCTATGGTGTGTGTAGAGACACTAACCACCCGTTTCTGGATGACTTTCCATATTGATGGAACTTGTTCCTGTCTAGACTCTCTCTCTCCTGACAGGTCCTGGGGAAAAGCTTCCTGGCAGACCTTCACAACTTCCTCCTGTATTTACTATAGGCCAATGGAGCGCCAGGCTCTGGGCAAAGAGGATGAGCAATGGACAAAGCAGACTAGCTGTCTTCATGGAGCTGGTGGGCATCCGGTCAAGAACACAGGCACATCACAGAGCAATCTGAGTCAAACCAGAAGGCTGCCAGAAAGAAGCAAACTCAAAACCAGGACAAGATGAGAAAAGGGTTATAATCAGTTGAAAGAAGTAATGGCAGAGAGAGTTTTTTTTTTTTTAACTTCTGTATGGGGATGGTGGTGGGGACAGTGGTAGTATGTGTTCTTACAGGTATGTGCGTGCACATGTGTGAGGGCACGAAGGCCAGAAGTTATAGTAGGCTATTTTCCTCAATAGCTTCCTTCCTTCCTTCCCCTTCTTCCTTCCTTCCTCCCTCCCTCCCTTCTCTCTTCCTCCTCTTCCTCCTCCTCCTCCT